TTTCAAGATAAAGATACAAAAATGTTGCGGTTAGATGTAAGCTCTTTGAATGTAAAACAAAGAATAAGAGAATAATATATTGTTAAATTATCACTATAGAAAATCTAAAGTAAATTATGGTGAAATGCTAAAAGAAAGGAAGAATGTAAGGAAAGGTATGATTGAATATATATATCGGAGTTAAATAATTAAGATTAACATGTAAGGAAATGTGAGCGTACGGAAAGACCAAGTTTATTCACACTGATAATAATTCTTACAAAAAGCGCTTCGATTGTGTAATAAATTTTTGGACATTCTGAAAGAGGGTTTTGTTTTCATCAGAAGAGAGATGTTCGTTGCCGTAAAGAAGATTATTTACTGTAGCCGGACAATTTAAATTAGTGAGAAATCTTTCGCGTATATTTCTGTATTTGGTACATTGCAATAAGAAGTGAGATACAGTTTCTCTCATTCCACATGTGCATGTTGGACTTTCCACAATAGACCTTCTGAACAGATCCTCATTCAATGAACTACATCCTAATCTTAATCTTGTGTGAAGGATTTGATCTTTACGTATGCCTGTATTATAGTAAGACGGTGGTCTTTTGATGTTCGGGGTTATTTTGGACTTAAATATGTTTAAAGTTGGACTAGATCGTAGAGTTTCAGGAAGAGAATTCCAGGTGCGAATAGTAGAAGGTAGAAAAGATTTTGAGTATAAAAGTGTTCTGGTTGGAACTGGAGTTAAATCGTCAATATGTCTAAGGTTATATGTACTTTGTTGGGTGGGAGTTAGAAGATTTGAAAGATAAGAAGGTGATATATGGTTTTTCATTTTATACAATAAGATTAATTTATGTTTATTTCTTCTATTTTCTAATGATTCCCACCCAAGTTCACTGATAAGCTTGTTAATATTACGATTCTATTTCCTTATTTAGTTCGTCAGTTAAGTTATCCCAGACTACATCAGCATATTCAAGAAGTGGGCGGACGAATGAATAATACATGCGTTCTAAACTTATTCGTGATAAAAGAAATTTAAAACTTCTGAGTAGTCCGATTCTTTTCCAGGCCTTATCAAGTAATAGATGAATATGGGTTTTCCAACGGGCATCATGAGATAAAGTAACACCAAGATGTTTATGTGATGTGACCTGAGATATTGGAATAGAGTTATAACTAAGTGAAGGATGAGACGGTTTAGATAATTTCCTTGAAAAAGTAATTGTTTTTGTTTTTTCTGGATTAAAAGAAACAAGCCAAGTATTGGCCAAAGAATGTATCCGATCTAAGTCTGAGTTAAGACTGGTTGCTGCAGTAAGTGGGTTATCTACGACTATATACAAACTTGTGTCATCCGCAAAAAGTTTTATGTTAGAAGATATGTCATTTACGATATCATTGATGTAAACAAGAAACAAAAGGGGGCCAAGAATTGAACCTTGAGGGACACCTGCGGAGATAGAAACCCATGCCGAGGATACATTTCTGTACTGTACTCTTTGTCGCCTGCAAGACAAATAAGAGTAGAACCATTGGAGAAGCGATCCATTTAAACCCAATGAAGATAGTTTGTAGAGAAGACCTTGATGCCATACTCGATCAAAGGCCTTGGAGATGTCACAAAATACAGCCCTAACCTCTTTACCCTGATCGAGAGCTAGACAAATATCATTGTATAGATAAACTAATTGATTAACTGTTGAGTCACCTCTTATAAAACCTGATTGGTGAGGAGTAAGCAAATTATTAGTGACAAGATGATTATACAGATACTTATGAACACATCTTTCCATCAATTTTCCGATACAGCTTAACAATGAGATAGGGCGGTAATTTTCGGGACGTGTTGGATCAGATTTTTTAAAAATAGGAGTTACATTTGCAAGTTTCCAGGGTGTAGGAAAGGAAGAAGAACTAATAAGCTTGTTAAAAAAGGCAGCGAGTGGACTGGCTAAAACAGGTGCGGCTTCTCGTAGTAATTTAGGGCTTACAAGGTCTGGGCCACATGCTTTTGAGGGATCTATTAAGGATAATGAGTCAAGCACATCCTGCTGCGTTATGTTAATGTTTGATAGGGTAGGAATGTTTGTTTCAGTAAGGGGTGGAAGTATTGAATCCTTATCATCTACCTTTGATTGCGAACTAAAGAAATCGTTTAGAACTTCTACCTTCTCTTGATCGGATGATGCAATGATATTATTGTAATTTAGTGAAGGTATTGAACTTGAGGATTGCTTCTTTGTTAATTTTTTACTACATTTGTACCATTCTTTAGGGTTTACATTATTTGAGCTGATTTTTTCAATTAATTTATTTTGATACATTAATTTAGATTTTCGTATTAGTGTAGTGACATCGTTTCTAATTTTTCTAAATTTTGACCAATGAAAATCGGTATTGTTTTGTTTGGTTTTTTTGTTAAGTTTGGCTCGTTTTCTGATTAATTTACGGATATCGTTATTCATCCAAGGGATGTCACCCGGTCTTATTGTTACTTCTTTGTTAGGAATAGTTTCAGATGCTACTTGGATAATTGTTTTAGATAAAATGTCCGCTGACTCATCTACGATGTCATTAGATAAAATAGAATGCAAGTCTGATGACCTTAGTTTATCCCTGAAAGTGTCGTAATCCCCTTTATCGTATAGCCAAATACGTCTCTTGAAATTATTCTGCTTTGGTTTATTTAATTTTAGGACTGCTACAACAGGACAATGAAAACGTGTGAGATCAGGAATAAAGGGATCGGCTACAAAGCTAGTGATAACATTTTGGTGGTACTTAATAAAAATGAGGTCTATCAAGGAAGAAGAATGTTCAGTGAAGTGCGTTGGAAAGGTTATAAGTTGTTCTGCATTATAGGATTCAATAAGTCTAGTCATCTTATTTGAGGATGATGTCTGAGTATTGATATTGAAATCACCTGCAACTATTGTGTCATATGTCTGTTCAGAGAAAGCGCGGTCGACACTTTCTTCCAGGAGTTGCCAGTATTCATTGTTTGAGTCAGGTGGTCGATAAATACCGCCGACAAGAAGTTTTTTGGAGTGAATAATAATTTCAACCCAAACTGCCTCAAGCCTGTTAATATGGAGATCCTGTCGAAAGTCAACGTTTATCCCATCTCGGACATATATTGCGACGCCCCCACCCACTCTTGCGTTCTTATTTATATTTTAATATAGCAGTAACAGTACTCACCATTTAAAAGAACTGTTTTTAAATTCAACACAGGAACGATTTGATATTCAGGTAACTATACAATTATGACTTTTAAATAAGTTGAATATTTGTTATAGAAAATCGGTGCTTTTGAGTATATAGTTATATCTTTTTGCCCATGAAATAAAGAGAATGTAAACCAGTAAACTATAAAACATGGTATATAATCTTTTGATTAACATCCGCTGAAGTATGTTCATGTTCATGTAAATCTATTTAAGTTGCAGACACCGATGAATTTTTAACATCTCTCTATTATCAATATAAAAATTATGCATGTTTGCTATTAATAAAGCGCTCTTGCAAATCCTTCAAAACCAACTCTGCATGTTATCATTGAAATTAAGGAACTCACGCAGCTGATAGTCGCTCAATTCCTTTCAAATATTACTTAACATCGACATTTTTATCAATCGCAACTGTTACAGTGAATTTACTTAACAGCTTAAAACTAAATTATTTCTTATCAGACTGAACCGATTTGTTCTGCACAAATGTATTTCATCTGATAACAAAAGATTATTATTGATAAGTACAAACATCCAATCTTATGAGGAATATATTATGTTTGATGCATGCAAGAACACAACACATCTTTTAGACGATTAATTTAAAGCTTGTTCATTTACGAAAATGACTCTTAAAAACATATCTTTCTTTTATTTTTATTTTTTAGATTAAGATTTTAAGCATACAGACTCTATCACGTCCATATGTCGTCTGTCTATCCTTGTGGGTGGATGAAGACCTTAATTGTCCATCACTGGGTAGACAAGTAGAATATGAAATTGGTCCGAGACAGAGAGAGTAATCACTTGGCTATAGAAGCCCTTTGCATTTAATAATTGTATATTTTCGTGTATTATCTTTGAACGAACGCGTAATTGCCTTTAGTAAACAAATACTAATAACATTTACACTTATTAACATTAAAGAAAGTTATTTTTAAGAAAGCAATGATAACATCGCCCACATAACCGCCGGCAAGGGAAAACGATACTTAACGTCACTTATTGTTTTATAAATGGCGTATTGAATCGTTAAAGATATTCAATTCTATAGGTCGTGACATAAATAACAATTGAACTGAGCTTATTGGTAACTATTCATATCTATCTTTAATATTTCAAGGGTACTTCACTTTTATTTTTAACGTAAATGACAACGTTCACGTCATTTGATCTCAACGGTCATATATTTACTATCAACTGAATTATTCAATTTTGATAACCTTATCATCTCTTTCAAAATCATCATCAAACTATGATAGGATTCGAAAGTGTGTCATTAAGCTTATAGCTTCTAACCAAATCAAACTAAAATCAATTTGTATAAACTAAAATAATAATTTTTTTAATGTTACAAAAATGATAAATGTGAAATGTCTCGTATTTAAAAAATAGTTATTAGCATTTCTGAAATGTTTATTTACATAAATTGTACACTGTACATACAATTTTATCTGTAAACGTTTTACTAAAATAGTATTACTGTAACTACAGTTATGTAGTTCATTGATAGTTCTTTTTATGTTTTCAATTAAGCTAAGACTATGAATCGAATGTTGTTGCTCTTTGAAGCAGTTGTAACTTATTTCTATGATCAATGTATTACTTTATTAATTTGAATACTTAGAATTTAAATCAATCATTACAGGGAGGATTCCTTAACTTCATGTCCTTGAAGTTTGGTGTTTTGTTATTTACAATAAAAATGTTATATGCTATCAGATAATAATAGTATAGTTTTTGGGACTGATTTTATTATTAAAAAACAATCAAAAACAAACAAAACAAAAAGAAAACTATAAAATGTTTAAAACGATATATGATAGAACTGAATCATTTAAATGTTGTTTTTTCAGTTGTTTCTTCTAATCTTCATAACAGTTTTCTTTAGAGAGTAATAATGTCCCCAGCACGAATGCCAATTGATTCCTCGAGCATACTCGGTATCTGCGTATAGTCCATTTAGACTTGAGAGATGACATGCTTTATGCCACCAAGCTCCACCAAAAAGTAGTGCACAGTTTGTGTCATAGATATCGTTATCACTGTCTATGGTTGAAAACTTGCCATCGTTATGATACGACATTGAGTCACCGCAAGAGCCGTTAAACCCTTCAACTCTCAATCTGAATTTATCATTTTCGTCATTAATTCTAAATGTCGAATATTCAGCGAAAGCAGACACTGGATCAACATTGTCATTCTTGAATGCCTCAAGGTATATGTGGAGTGAGCTACTGTCACTAGTCAAATAGTAAATATCTTCTAGCCCTAGCCAATATTCGCCGCTTCTGTTTCCGAATCCGTGCTTGTATTCTTCCCAATTCCTATAGAAATCTTCAGATCCGTCTTGCCGGCGTTGTATAACCGTCCAGCCACCATTGGTCATATCACACCACACATCAGTGGTAGAAGAACTTACATCTGGCTTGATCACATACAACCCGTCTTCCATATATCCTTGTTGGTAAAGATCAAGGCAGTCAATCGGCTCTGGTTGTTTGTGTACTCTCTTTACTTTTTGACCACCTTCCTGAAAAAGGCATTGAAATAAATCATTTTAAGATATATTCGCATCAGATGCCAAAATAACATTCATTAATATATTTTAAAACCATAATCAATATATGTTTCGTTCGTTATTTTTGCATAATTCAACTTGAATTTTTTTCTTTCTTTTTACAATAAATTTATGATACAAGTAAAGTTATTCACCTGTACGTATATCATTTCATAAATCAAAAATAGCTGCATATGAGTTTTGAATAGAAAATTAACTAATGTCATTGATGGTGCAATAGGAAGTAAATTTGATTATTTTCCTAATATGTGAATCCACGAAAATCAAGAAATATTAAGTGAAACTACTTATCTACTACAAATAAAGTTATATGGGACTTAAGCATTTTATTCATTTAATCTTAAATATATTGAGTTATAATTTATCTTAATGTGTTTTATTTAAAACAAAACTACATATAATAACACTTTTAGATTAAAAACTTGAATTGTAATTTTAGCACGAAACGTAACGGACTAAAGACTCTAAGTCACTGTAAACAAGTAAATGAACCGATAATTCAAAACGAAAATTTCATTTGGAAATGGTACTTAGTCCAATAAATAGATGAGTATGACTTTAGTAAGCAATGATAATCACATTAACAAAATAAAAGGTATACATTTATATAATAACAGGGGTAAATTATATCATATGATATCAAATGCATAGTATATATTTGATGAGTATTTGTGTGCGCTCTTGTGAATTGTATATATTTTGAATTACAAATAACTAAATTAAAATTAAAATAATCTGCAAGGTGTACTAGGAAACCAAGTGATGTAACCAGATCTGTCATATGTGCTTCATACTTTATCAGACCATGAGACAAAAGTTGATGCATTTTGAAATGATTATTAAATATATATATATATATATTACTGTAATATATTTAAAATGTGAATGCAATAATGATAAAAGTAGATGATAAGAAAATGGCATTTAAGAAAAAAAAAATAGATTGAGCGTAAAATTCTTTACCATCTTCTACAAAACTTGATTAAGTTGACAGTTACAAATCTTTCATATAAAATTGTAAATTTTGCTTACTTGTATATATGTAGTCGACACCTTCTGTGTTTTTATTCCATGGATTATTCCACCGGTTTCATTTTTGTCAATGCTATAATCAACCTCAGAGCTACAAAAGCATAATGAATTATTCTCAATCAAGAAGAATGATAACAGCCCATCTTTATGACAATGATAAATGCACGAGATCAATGACTGTTCATTTTTTAGTACTGTTGGCACACCTTGAGGGATTACGGATATTTTCTCTATCTCGCATGAGGATGTAACATAATGCTCCAAAGTAAGCACTTCTGAAAAACAGTAATTAATCGCAAGAAAAATCAGAATCATCTTCGATGTTTAACAAATCGCATATGTTCAACAAAGGTAGACAAATACTTTTTTATGCTCTTAACCGTGAGACATCAACTGAAATGTATTCGCTGAAATATTAATAATCCTCCTCAACCATAAGCTACGTTTAATCGTTGAAACCATAGAAAAAGATTTTCAATAAATAACTATTATCATTTTCATTTCCCTTTGTTGTTAAAATGCTGTCTCAGTAATTAATATGAGTTATATGATTTATTGTATTGCTAACAGATCAATTAATGTGTGTTTTAATGGTTTTCAGCCAACTGATCTGTTTAGAAAGATAGGGCAATTATACCTTCACTAAAGAAAAACACAGAAAGCAAATAAATAAATCAATAAAATCAATTATAAAACAAACGTTGGATAACAATATATTTTGACAAAGGTTTCTCCATGGAAATTAATTACATAGTGTATTATTCCATTTATTCCATAAATCAAATAACAAAAACTAAAATTGAAAACAATTTGTTATAACAATATTTATTTGTTAGTCACTCCAATAACGCTTAAGTATAAAATGAATATTTTAATTCAGGTAACAATGCTATTAATTATCCTTTTATGAAATGATTGATCGTAGTGATCACAGTTAATGAATCAGCAAAGAATAAGTATACTAATAACAAAACTGTTTCTGTTGTATTCATTACGTCATTTACTGATTTAAGTGAAATGGTCTACAATGAGACCTTTTTTATAATAATTTATATTTTGAATATTGACGAGCACAATACAAAATCTATCTTTCGGATGAATATTCTAATAATAATATTTCTTGAAACAAAAATGTTGATTGAGTTATAAAAGGTTTAGTGCTGACATTTATATGAAATCAATATTATTGACATTTTATTCAAAAACAATGTATTACCTGCTGTATAAAGATGTGTCAAAGCATGCATCTCACACTTATCAAAATATATCTATTAGACTGTATTTGGTCGTTTATGTGCAATATGAAATTTTATTTCATCAAGTGAGCTTTCATAGCAGTATTTGCACATGTAGTACTTAAGAATACTGTTTTTTAAGTTCACAAGATGAAATAAAATAACATCTTACACAACAAGCAAACAAATGTCATTTTAAATGATATTCCTTCAATATTTACTGGTATAATAGAGAGAAATAGGAATCCCATAAGAAAGCCCAACACAGCAAAATTGAAAATGCTGCAGGTTCGGTTTGATTGAGCCTGTTCATGGACGGTACTGTCAACTGCAAACTACCGTCCACGCCCTCTAGCACCGACTTCAGCAGAATTCAACATTTAACAAATATCAAAATCAAAATGTTCCGAATTTCTCTAAAATACATAAAGTCTTGAGCTAAACAATACAGTCAAAAACCAACGTTAAATGGTGATGATATTATTTTAATTTATTTAAAAGATATGAAGGATAGCTTGTTTAAATAATTAACAAATCGTTTCGCATAGTTTTATTTGTGATTTTGTTTGTTAAATATGAAAGGAATTATCAACAGAGGAGAACAACATTAACTAATGACAGCCCCTCGCTCCTGTCACCAGCACAGTGAATGGGGTATTTATACATCAGGACAAACAACGAACAAAATTGAGGGTTAATGAAAGCGCACGGAGAAAAAACCACACACATGGATGGACGAACGATATACCATGTGAAAAAGTGTAAGTGTTTTAAATTAGTTTTTTTTTTCTTATTTTTATTCGTCCCAGGCTAATTAGAAAGGAAAATAAGTAATGTTATTGTTTTGCGAGGTTTAAGGTCATGTGTACTACCTTAACTATGTCAAATCAAATTATAGGCAAGTTTCTTGTTAAAGAAGTGATTTCTTTGTTGTATTATTGTAGATGTATAGTTAAAAAAAATGACAAAATGAAAATAAATTTTAAGAGAAGGATTTATAAAACTTCATAAGCTATTGAATATGGATCATATTATGCTACACTATTCTATCTAGACAAGTTTATAATTCCTTAGACAAGTCTCTGGGGGCAAAGGTCATGGCAATATCTGAATTTTCTAAGGGATTCTAGAATGATCCCTGTGCAAAATAAGGAATATGATAGTTCTGATACAAAAGAAATACGTCTTAATTAAATAACAAAACACTGTATTCTTTGAGCCGCGTTTATTCATTTGTCAAAATCAGAATGTATACAAGATATCATCAGTAAATATCTGGAAATTAAAAAGCCATTTTCCGTAAAAAGGTTGTTTTCCTTTTGAACGAATAAAATCATTATTGATCATCTATTTAGCAACATATTTAAAGTGCCAACTTTGTCTTACATCATGTACATGCTATTCTTTCCCCCGAAACGCATTGGCTTTGGATTCCGTATCCCGCTTGTAAATTACTTTTCGTTGTCACCGCAGTAAAGCAATTAGTCTTCTTTGATCATGTACTTTATAAAATTGCAATGATGTTTTACATACACGGTTTTACATGTTTAAACACATATATCTTTATGTTTTTCTCAAATAAGAGGATAATATGTGATACTATAAACGATTAAAGTAATAAATAAATACGTTTTGTCTTTTACATCGTAAATAAATTGTTCATTTAAACACGAAAAGACGCCCTGTAAGACATTCTATTTCACATACTTTATTTCCATTAGGAACCCTTTTTAGACATAAAATTAGCTTTATGATATAGCTCTCGCAAAGTTGTTTATAGTTTCATATGACAATATGTTTACAATTTACATTTATAATGTTTGCGGCACAAACGTCCAGATAGACATTGAATTCATAAGGGACAAAAAATCAGACTAGAAGAAATGTTTAATATTGTTTCTTCTCAACTAACTTATCTTAAGTTAAATGATCTATAATACAATAAATAATTATAATTACGTTAATAGTATTTAGTATAAATCATAACGAATTATACATTCATGTTCTTTGCACGTGTGAGAAACATTATCCGATATTTCATTTATCTATAACGCAGATAATGAAATGTTCTATACCAAAACATTTTATTCACCATATATCGATATCTGAAATCAAATTACTTATTTAACGGCAAAGATATCAATATGTAATGCCCAAAAATTAGTAGTATTACGTACATGTATTGATTAAATAACAAATTTAAAAATGAATTTCGAAATAGGACATTCTATTTTCGGCCAAACGCTTACATTTAATTGAACGTGAATCAATGCAATCAAATCAGCTTTAAGTATTATCCGCTTCTTCATGTTCACAGTAAACACATGTCTGCATCGTCCCTTTAAAAACAAAAAAACAGAAGCTATGAAAACTAATTCCTAGTTTTTGCCATTTTCATAGAACCGTTTAGAATGAAGATTAATTCTTACATTTGAATATTTCCTGAATGAATATAGTGTCAGACTGAATATCTTTGTCATTTGAAAAAATGCATGTTAATAATTTACAAATGTGCAATTTAAAAAAAAAACATTTGCGCCTTCATTTGTTCTCAAAAAGTTAGATTAGGTTAACGTGAATTCTAACAAGTATCATTCTCAATCTATATGTTTTATATATTATTCTAGCAAAGTACACGCAAGCTGATGAAGATGAATATAATGACAAAACAATTTACTTGAAAATAGAGCCGATATGCGACATGCTGATGCCAAGTATAATTATATTTACTTGACTGTGTATTATATACATAATTTTCGAGTTGATCTTTCCAAGTTCTCTTGATAAAATTAATGGTTTCTTGTTTATATGAGAACACAAGAGTAAAACTATTTACTACAAAATATATTGTTTTTAAAATTTGCAACTCGATTTAATATTCAGCTAACTATAGAATTATGGCTTCTAAATAACTAACAATTTTGTAAAGGAAAACGTACTATTAAATAAATATTTTATAATAATTTGCCCATGACACAAAATGTATGTAAACTGGATGTAAACTAGCAAACTACAAGACCTGATAGTTAACCTTCTGATTAACATCCCACGGAGAATGTTCATTTTCAATCTAAACTGTACAATTTACAGGTGCCGTCTCTCCATTATCAATATATAATATATGCATGTATGCTTTTAATAAAGCGCTCTGGCAAATTCTTCAAAACCAACTCCGCATATTACCATCGACATCAAATAACTCCCGCAGCTGATAAATGCTCAATTTCTTTCAAATATTACTTAACATCAAATCTCATCCATCGCAACTGTTACAGTGAATTAGCTTAACAGCTAAAAGCTAAAGTAAGATCTAATTTCTTATCAGACTGAAACGCTGCACAAGTATTTGTCAATAAAAAGTTTTTGATTAATAGGTGCAAACAAAAAAAACTCTTGAGGAGTTTTACTGCTGTTTGATGCATGTGAGAACATAAGACATATTTTAGACGAATAATTTAAAGCCTGTTTATAAACAATCGAGATAAGTTTAAAAAAATGTTTTGAAACATATGTCTTTCTTTCTCTGTTTTTTTTTTTTTTTTTTTATTTTTATTACGTTTTTAAGTAACATCGATTCCATAAATAGTGGACGACGCCCTCAAGAGCCCTTCCTTGCATTATGTCTGCCACACAGGTTGAACCACCGACCAGTAGTAGCCTAGTTTGATATTTTCCTCTCATGTAATATTTTAAATTCCCTGGCGGGATTCGGACCAACGGCGGTAAATGGGAAAATGGTCCGAGACAGAGACAGTAACCATTAGGCTACAGAAGCCCTTAAAACCTATATTTGCACTACAGTCATTGAACATTGCCGTGTATTATATTTGAACGAACACGTTTAGTGATTTTAGCAAAACTAATGCCATTATTTGCTTAACACTTTTTAACAAGAAAGAAAAGATAACAACGCTCAAATATATACTGATTAACTTTAAGCGTTTTAGTAAACACAACTAATGGATTGATATTCATCTGAGATTCAAAATTATGTAAAAATTGCAAATCGTGACCTGCCATTCAAAGTAAAATGTTATGGCATATTATGTTATCTTCTGGTGGCCACGTAATTCTTCTATGCGATCATTCTAGACCAGCTGACAC